TCCCAGACTCCAATTCTCATTTCAGCACTCTGAGGCTTTCAAAACGTGCAGCCCCACTCACTTCCTACTGTTCCCGTTTGTTATGGTTGAAACATTGTGTCAACTTGGGGAGTCTAGAGGTTTGGCTAAGTAACTCAGCAGGAAGGCAGGATACTTACTTTGTATATATCCTGAGCCTGTTGCAGAGGAGGGCGTGGAGATTATGTGAGAGCTACACGCCCCTTAGGTGGGGGTAGTCTGTTTACGATGTAAGGCAAGAAAGAAGCTGCTTGCCGCCATTCCTTCAGTTTGCTCTGGCTGCTTTGCTGTTCGGCTGCCATTCCCCCCTTTGCTCTTGTTGCTTTGCCACCTTCTGCCTCGGAGCCAGCCAAGTATGGACTGAAACCTCCACAAACTGTGAGCTAAATAAACCTTTCCTTCCTTCATTTTGGGCGTTGGGTATTTTGTCTCAGCAACGAGAGAAAAGTAACCAAGACACCCTTCTCCCGCACTCAGTGCCCCAACTCTCCTGGAATTCTTGCCATTTCTCGAGCAGACATAAATTTTCCCACTTCTGCCCCTCAGAGGTTCAGGCTTCTCCCAGGGAATTCCCACCTCCCAGGACCAGCTACCAAAATCCCCAGTAGCCTTCAGCCTTTCTCACTAGCCACTGAAGGAATGAAAATTTTTATGGCGTCTTTTCATTTTCCCTGACACACCAGCAAAACTACCTGTCTGTAAAATGCAGATCCTCTTCTTTGTACACACCACTTGCAGCCTTTGTCGCCATTGTTATGCCACCATCATCCTTCTTATCAGCGTTATGTTGACTACAAATTTGTGAAAAGCAGCACTGTGTGGAGCTGCTATTTTCCCTAGAGCTTCCAATGGGGCCTGGAAGTAGTGGCTGAATTCAGATCCAAATTATCATACATTTGTTTTTCAACAGAACAAAAAAAGAATGGAGTCATTTCTCACCTTAATGATAAAGTGAGAACATCTTCTAAGTTAGTGTGCTTAGATCTATTTCATTCTTTTTGCTACTTGTATCAGAACTTTTTGCTCATTTGTTTAACCACTTTCTTTTCTGAACAATTAGTTTTAAAATCTCTCCTTATTACTAGCAAAATGGAAATGAACATACACACCTGACATATAAGGAATAACTTTCTAGCTATGGAATTTATGGCTGAAATGGTACATATATTTTATACTTTAATAATTTCTGCCAAAATCACTTTCTAAACAACCATGCTAATTTACTTTGTTTCTAAAATACCCATTAGCCTCTTGACTGGAGTATCTTAGCTCTTCTTTCCCATGACTCCCCTGCAGGATTTGTGTAGGGAGATAGGGTACAGGACTAGTCCTCAGTCACCCATAAAATTAAGTGTTTCTATACTAATCCTTAGCACAGTGTGTGTAAGCCAAGTTTAGGTAGTAATCACCACTACTAGCTTGCCAGTGTCATAAACTCAAGAACCCTATCTCCCTCCTTGTTCATTTCTCTATATTCTTTATTCCTTCACACAGTACTTTAAAATATCGTGTGTGTGTGTGTGTGTGTGTGTGTGTGTGTGTGTGTGTGTATGTGTGTGTTGGCATTGGAGCTAGTTCAAAAGATGAGGAAAGAGGGAAAGTAGGCAAGTGAGAGACAGCTGTGAGTGGAAGAAGGGGTGTAAGCAAAGCCCAGAGGCTCATGGTCATTGACATCTAAACTCTAACATCTTCTCTCTGTTTCTAGAAATTATGACCATGGCCTCAAATCATGGCCATTTGACCTTTTCCCCATATGTTACTGGAAATGGCTGCCTCTTTGATGTAGCAGTCTGGTAAAACTCAGCTGCGAGAACCTGATACAAAAGTATTACCTCCTTGGAAGCTGAACATAAGAGTCCTATTGTGGAGCGTGGGCTCTTGCATCTGATTCCTGTTGATAGCTGTCTTGATATAGGACCTCCAAATGACACAAGGGAAATGGTGTAACTCCCAACCTGCTAGATGTCTGATATGCCTAGTTTGTCTTCCCCAAAATCACAGAATGAATTAATAAGGAACAATGGAGATTAAGAGTAGAAAATTTTATTGAGAGAGAGTCAGATCCTGAGAGACAGGAGGAGGGCTGCGTGGGTTGCCAAGGAGCCCACTTCTCAAAGGAAGTTTTATAGAGCAAAAATCACAGGATGAGTACAACATGGACTAAAGCTATAATCAACCAATAAGATTGTAAGTATAGCCACATAGGTAATATTGATCCAATGGGGAAGCGGGCCACGTATCAAATGTTCATGGAAAGAACAAAGATCTTTTCAGGAAGGAATGAGTCTGGGGATCTTGGTCATCCATCAAGGTGGCTGATGTCTATCTCAACTTTATTGGACCAGATCCTACCATTTATCTTATCCCTTGGGAAGCATGTAGGCCTGGTCATTCCATCTTTATCTTGAGGCTTAGCCTCCAATAGACATGCCTCCAGCCACAGTTGTAATGTGTTTCGATCTTTTGTATTGACTTTCTTGAGGCCCTCACCCTGTCTGACTGCCTACAAGATTTCTGTGTAACTTAGTCCATAACAGTCTTAGTCGCTTTTGTGTAGCTGAGACATGATACCCAACACCTGCAACTTAAAGGAGGCTCACGGTGTTTAGGTGTTAGTCCATACCTGGCCTGAAAGCTGTGGTGGAAGGGTTTGGTCAGGAAGCTGAGAGCAAAGAGAGAAATCTCAGAGGGAGATAGACCCTTCTGGGTTATGTCCCAGGGCGCTCCTCTAGCCAGGCCCCTTAACTCAGTGCCCTCAGCTGCTGAACTCATTAGTAGGTGAATTCAGTGATGAGAGTAGCTCCCCCATGAGCCAACCACCTCCAAAAGTCCTGCTTCTGTGTGCATGAGAACTTGGGGGAATATTGTAGATCTAAACCATAACAGGGGTTCGTGGTGAGGCTTGTATTGAGATGGAGCTAGGTTAGAACCCCTTTCCCTTTTATTATGTATTGTGCCACCTGGGGCAGGTTGCTTGATATCTTTAAAACTCAGTTGTCTCATCTGTACAGTGGGAGTCAATTACTCCTATCTTATAAAGTTATACACAAATGACAATAAAATGTAAGATGAGACATGAGAATGATATAAGTTCCCAAGCCCAGCTCCTGGTATACAAGGCACACAAAATACACAGAAAGTATCCTCACTGTCTTTCACACTTCTTCCCCATCACCATTTGACTGTGGTGCACCAGGCACTGATCTTAAAGACACTTGATTTGATCTGATCACTTTATGCATCGTGGAACACCGAGGCCCAGAGAAGAGCAGGCACATGGCAGCTGGAAATGTAAGGCAGGACCTCCCTCCTGCAGGCACAGGACATATTCTAGGGCCCTGAAGTGCTCAGACTTAGTTGGAGCACCCTGACCTCCTCTTCTGAACCCAGGAAGATGCAGTCGTCTCTGCCCAGCCAAAGGTCCTGTTTTGGAGAGAGGCCACCCTATCACCCTGTTTCCATTTCTCCCTGTGCCCTTATCCATCATCAGTTTCATCTGCCATCAATTCATCTCATCAACCCGATGTCCTCCATCCTCTTCTTCAGCAGATGTCGCTTCATCCGCCCAACTACTTCACTCCTTCTTTCTTCCAGGGCCCACCAGACACCCTGCACTTTCTTGACTTATGCTTCAGCATAGGCCAGGTTGTATGTAGAGATTCTACAGTCTAAAACATTGTGTGCACAGTCTCTTCCCTGTGGGAAGTTTTCTGAGTGACACCACTAATAGACCTTTCCATGACTCCTCTAGGTTGACTACAAATAATAAATGTAGCATTGACTATGTGCCAGGTCACTCCCGACTACTTTGCAGATACTAAACTCATTTGATCCTCATAATAACCCCAGGAGATACTATCAACAGCTCCAGTTTACAGGTAAGGAAAACAAGACACAGGAAAATTAAGTAATTTGTTCAGGGTTTTACAGCTAACAATGAGAGGAAGCAGTTAGCTCAAGAGCTGCCCTAGAGCTGCTCCCAGGATCACGCTCTGCCTGGGGCTTTGCCTTTGCTTCTTTTCCTCTCAGGACTGCTTTTCGCACTCCCTGCCTGATTTCTCAAGAAAACCATTCCTCAATCACTTGCATAGAAAACCTCATCTCAAATGCCAACATAGATATCGCCTATACCCCTCCCCAAAACCACCATTGTAAGTAGTTTGGGTAGTTTGATAGGCACAAAGAATTGTTTTCCTGCTGGAGTGATTCATTTATAGGACTGTCCTTAGAGGAGTTAATAGCTCCTGAAATGGAAACTGCCCTAGGAAGCAGTAGATGACGAGGCGAAGCAGGACAGGAGAAGGATGACAATGACTATTAAGACAAAGATAAATATTTCTCTTGGAAACATTGTGCTAAGTTCCTTAAATGCATTACTTCATGTAACCATTCAAAATATTTTCTGAGAGCACTACTATTCAGGGAATGCTTCTACCATAATGGCTGTGACCCACAGAACATCATTACCAATCTACTTATCTTCTAATCACTATGATATTTTTAGTCTCCATTTCGATGTCCAACTGAAGCCTCAAATTTAATATGGTCATATCAGAATCCATCAGCCCTCCCCGCCCTTAGCCACAGTTGGTCCAAGTGCTCACTCCATAGCCTATTGGGGAATGGCCCCACCCATTTGATTCATCAGCGCCACCCCAGCCCATCCAAGTTATGCTGATCTGTCCTGGTGCCTCTTGGTTCTTTTCCTTCCTTTCCAAATCTAGCATTTCACAGATTCTTTCCATTCCCTCAACAATCATCTTTCATTTGTTTTCTTAGAGCCCAGAAGGCTAAAGCATATTGCCTGAGGCACACAGCTGGTTGGGGGTAGGGGCGGGATTGGCACTGAGATTCACCTGGCTCTAAAGCTCATGCTCTCTGTCAGAGTGTTATCAGGTAGTTCTTTTAAAGAACGCCTGGCCAATTAAACGTCTTCCAGGCCCTTCTCATCTCGAACAAAGAATTGAACAAACAAGCCAAAAAATGGTGAGAAGGTTTATTTGAAAAGTGAGGGGTTAAGGCAAAACTGGCTCTGCGGAGCAAACGGGCTGAACAAAAGAGAGGAAAGGATAAAAGACAAAACTAAAAGTATACCCCGGGTCAGGGAGACTCAGGGAGGGCTAACATGAAGAGTCATGACAGCAGGTATCCTCCTGGCATCTGGTCTTTATGCTGTCCACATCGCGCAGGAACCGTGAGAAGTTCTACATACATCCGGGTCCTCAGAGGCGACGCTGTGCAGCTCCCGGGACCCCGCCACACATCTCTTTCCAGCCAGTCTAAGCCATGCCCAACAGTCTCTCGTTCATAGCAGTGTCCCATTAGCATAAGTCTGGGGCTGAAGTATGAGTTTCTTAATAAGGAGGAATTATTTTAAATAACTAAACAATAACACATAAAATAACAACGCACGATTTAGATATTTCCTTTTCAACTTCCTATCATTTCAGATGGAGAAAGTCCCATTTCGGGGTACTAGAATGCCGTTACTACGTCCCTAGCAATTGCTAATCTTCCTTTGCCATAAAGAGACAGCAGGCCTCAGGCTCAGAACTTTGGCAATTTACTTTGGCTACAATTTGCTAACTTTTTTTTGTGGTTACTATCTATTCACGCCAAATGACACTTGTTTTCTACCTGTGGTGATAGAAGCAAGATAAATTTTTCTTTAAAAATAAATGTATTTGAGTTTGAAAAGTGAGTCAATAATCTAATAAATCCTAGGACACCTGCTACTCAGAATAGCAGAAACCGCAGCGGTGAAATGTAAATGGCAGATGGGGAGGGGCATAAACAAATTGTTTTGTAGGAAACAAATTTCACTTGCCAACTCCACAGTGCCTCTTCAGAGTCAGGAACTCCTCTGCTCAGTGCCCCTCCCCCCAGGCACTTCCTCCCTTTACAGACTTGTGCAGTTTCAAGTGGATGGCCCTTGGATGTCATCACTCCAACCTCTCACATCCTAGATGAAGATCAAGGTTCAAAGAAAAAAGAGGATCTGATCCGTTAAACTTTTTCAGAACATGACAGCTATTTTGGGACTAGAACCTACGGCTCCTGGTGCCATCTATGCTCTCTCCTCTGCACCAAACTGCAATCATTCATCATCACACACTCTTTGTTCTTATATGTGCAAAAGACTCCAACCAATCCCTCTCCGGCTTTTCAAGAAGAATGAGCATTGTGCCCAGGGCATCTATTACACTGTATATAATGACTTAATTTCTCTCTTATGTCTCTCAGAGGATAATAGTTTTGTACCACCCTGGGGAGAATCAAGAATAGTCACTCAAATAATTTCCTTAGGGTCTAATTCTCTTGCAAATTCCCAATTGAGAAAAGCGGCTAGAGCTTAGCCTTTTTGAATGATTAATTCTCTTTCAGCCAAGGAGCCCTTTATATGCCAACTGAAGTCTCCACTGCTTTAATTTAATGTCATCTTTCTTCAGTGCCCCTGAGATGGGGAGAATTCATTAGTATGTCTCTCATAAAAGTCTAGCATAGCAGGAAATTAAATTCATCTGGTATAATCAGCTGTTCAGAAAGCTTTGCTGGTTGTTCTGCTCTACTTTATGGTTGTCAAGGTGATTGCAAAGTGATTGTTTGATGACGTGTTCTAGGATCTTTCCAGGTATTGATGTTAAATTTAGATGTCAACAAACCAAAGCCAGAACAGAAGAGTTATGCCTTGCTGGTAAAGATGATTGTAGAACAAAGAATACTTCGTGTGAAGAGGCGAGGGCTCAGGAGAAATTTAAGGAATTCTCCCACAAGTTCAAGAACAATCTTAAAGGAGACAACACACTTATGCTGAGTGGCCTCAAGGGGGCAGACTTAAGATCTAAGGGCAAACTCTTAGGAAGGAGGGAAATAACTTCATAGACCTTTGAACCCGACTACTGAGAGTCACCTGTCCAGAGATGGCTTTCCAAGAGTTTTGAGGGATGCACTGTGTAAGAAGCTGACCAGACTGTAAAATGCTTCATCCAGAAACCACGGTCATCCCATCTCACTGTATAACTCAATGCTTTAGAATTTGCAGAATCATTCTTCTAAGGAATAAAACTACGTCTCTTTTCAAAAATTTTCACATTAATTGAAATACAAATATCCATGTTCAAAGGATTCTTTCACATATATGATCTGATGACAGAAATATTCCTTCTGTATATGCATTTTAATTAAAAATAATTAGTAACAATTTTCTCTCTTGTAAGGCAAGACACTTGACATACATTCAGTCTCATGGAAATTTAATGAGATAGATATTATTAAAAAGCGACATTTTAAACAAGAGAAATCTACAGGTGTTTTCTGCTCAAGAATCATAAAGCCAGAAGGACACTTATCTAAGCCAAAATTGCATGAGATAAGATTTTCCTCAGCCATTCAGCTATCAGACTGAGGGCATTTTCTGGCATGCCAGAACCTCACTCCTATTCAGTTCATGAGGTAAACCACACTGTGATTTTTATTCCTGTTCGGTGGGCAGGAAGTGACAAATCAGTGTCTTAAGGGATTGACAAAATATGTAATTAGATACTATCAACCACTGTAAAAGAGCCCATTTCTTCTTACATCAGATAAAGCTGCATTGAGCCCATAAGAAATTTCTAGTTCAACTCAAGCATGAATTCCCTAAGGCCAGGAGCTCATAAGCAGTTCCAGTCCAACTCTCCTGCAGAGACAAAGATGACGTAACAGTTGTTGGGCAGTGAGAACATGTGAGGCCTTGAGGTAGAGCAGGACTCCTGAAATTCTCACCACCTTGGACTGGACCTTTCTTCTTTCTTCACTTGAGATCCCTCTTTTCAAACTGGAGGAACTGACTTAAATGATCTATCAAATTCTTTCCCATTCTAATTTTCTGATTCAAGAGTTCTAAAAGGTCAGAGAAAGACTCTTACAAGATAAATCTTGAAATTCCTACCAGCTTGGGGATGGAGAGAAGAAGGGAGTGGAGGGCAGAGGAAGGAGGGGGTAGGGAGGGGAGGGGGGAGAGGGAACACTGTCCTGCATTTGTCAAAGCTTGTGGGCAAAACTGAGGACTTCCTAGTTGACATAAGCAGTTTCCCCTTCTTAATTTAGTGCTTGTGGTTTTTTAAAAGGTGTTTACCAAAATATTCAGTTAAGCTTTTACATGACTTATTTATGTGTATATAAATAAATGACTAATTAATGTTTATCTTAAAAGGGATTTGTTTGTTCTTGTATGGGAAGGCTGAGCAAAAATGCCTATTTACAGTATTCTATAGTTTCACAAACAGGAAGGAGGCTGAAAATGGTTTAGTTCCACAATTGGGGCAGATGTATATTTAAAGAAGCATTGTTACATAATACACACTGCCTCTTCCTACAATGTATCACATGGAGGCCCAGTTTTGGAAAACACAAATTTTTGAGGTGGGTCTATTTTGAAAACTATGTGAACATAATAGACTCTTAATTGATAGCTGTGGCTTGTATAGAAAATACTTGTCAAGGGGGCATCTGTTGTGCAAAAAGACAGTTTCTGCTGTTGAAGGAAGTTAAAGAGGACATGGAGGTTAAATTTTGTTTCTGCGCTTTACTTCCGGAGTAAACATCCCACTTATGTTTGTGTTCTGAAGTATTTTATTGTTCTTGTAGAGAAGACTAACAATAATCTTTCAAAGTCTAGGTAATCAGACTTCACTGGCAACCCAGGTCTCTGTGGCATTCATATGCACACTCATAGCCTTTCATCCTCCTCACCCACTGGAAGTGCCTCACTCCTTCCTTTACAGGGGAGAGAAATTAGGCTCCGTCCCGCTGATTTGCCTGCAGAACGGTAAATGTCCAAGTCAGGTGAAGCTGGAATGTGGGTGCTCCTGTTCAGCTGCAGCGCTTGTGCCCCCGCGCCACTCTTTGCTGCATATGATAATGCAATAAATGGAAAAGCTCAGAGTCCAGGCTTTGAGTCAGGAAGTTTTGGGTTCAAATCCAGCTTCTGACACTGCCTGGCATTGCTCTTCAGCAGGCTACTTGCTTCTTTAAGTCCTATTTGTTAATTAACCTAAAAAAACTACTCCCCACTCCATGGGACCGTGCAAAGGATTAAATGCAATAATGCATGAAAAGCACATGGCAGGATGTTCCATAAATTTAAGCCATTGTTATGTAATCTAGGAAGTATGTTTGGTTACACTGCATGAAATACTTTCAGTTTTTCAGACACCACCAATACAAGTAAAATCAAAACTCTGAAAATGAATTTTTTTTCAGCAGTAAAGTCATATGCCAGATGTAGAAGATAGAATTTCATGGATAAAGACTTTCATTTTCTGACTTTTTGGAAGGAGAAAATTATCTCTTGCTAATAGTTTCAAAACGTCAGTGCTCACACATTTTTAATAATGTGTACTGTTAAAGTTGGCATTTTTAGAAGTCAGAGAGAGCCAAATGGTGGCAATTTCATGCGGCATAATATAACAGATTAACAAATTACCTACCCGATGAAAGGGGTTTAAAAAAATTTTTTTAGTTACAATGGAACTAGTGACAAAGTTATATTTGAAAGAAAAATTATGTCGTTTTCATTGTCAATGTCTCTGATCCAAAAGATAACCAGCCATGATGTCACATGAACAAGAATTAAGAACAAAACCATATTTCCTTTCTCATTCCAAATACATACATGCATACAGACATACAAGCATACCTCAGCTTCTAATAGAATCCAAAGGGTACAATTATCTGTTTCAATGGCTGCAAATTCCCCAGGAGAGCACCAAAAGTGCTTGAAGGCGAGTGTGCTGAGGAAATCTGCAGCTGCTGAAGTCACCTCCTGTGGTCTTGCCAAATGTTTGAAAGGGAATACAGTGGTGCTTGGGGTTGGAGGCAGGGGGTATCATTTATGTGTTTGGGGGCGGGGGATAACGACCTAGATGGAGACCACCCTATGTCTCTTTTTTCGTCCCAAAGGAACATGTGTGGGCGTGTGCGCGGGCGTGTGCGTGTGAGTGCGCGTGTGTGTGGTGAGAGCGCTCGTTCACTTATCTTGGCTAGGCGTGTGTCCATGCCTTCAGCTTCGGTGTGAGAGAGCGCACGAGTGTGCATGTCGGTGCGCTGGGCGGGTGTGTCTCCGAGTCTGTGGTTGTCGCTGGGAATAAGTCTGAGCATGTTTATCGGGGTGCATTTGTGCCTGTGCGTGCGTGTCTCGGTGGATATTTTCATCTGTTCCCGAATGTGGATGAGTGTCCCCGTGAGCTGCTTCTACTCTGAGAGCTCAGGCCACAGAGGTGCCCAGAGCAGACAGGTAGCGCCAAAGAGGAGTCCAGTCTCCCAGGCTGGCTGCAAAGCACCGCAACGCCAGCCTTAGCCCTCCGGGACCAGCTAGGGTAGCCGGGAGAAAGAGGTGGCCCGCCCGCCTTCCGGCCGCGCCCGGGCCAACCCCTGGAGAGGGCGGGTGAGGGTAGGGTGGGGAAGGGGAACGGGGCCTCGCCCCTTCGGGGCTGCCGGAGCGCCATTGGCCGAAAGTTGCTCTACGTCACGGGAGGGCAGTTCCCCTAAAGTGCTGCTCGCTTAACGGGCAGAGCGCACTCAGAGGCGGCTTCTCCAGAGCGCAGGCTGGAACCAGCGGACAGCGCGAGCCCAGAGCACCCCGCAAGCTGAGCGTGCAGGACGAGCCCCTCCACAGCCAACCCACAGCCGCTGAATGAGGCTTCTAGGCGTCCACCCGCGGCCCGCAGCGCCCCGCCGGAGGGGCGCCCGCTGAGGCGCGGCCGCTGTGCCGGCAGCCCATGCGCTCACCTGCTCCCTTGCGCGCCATGGGGCACCTTGGGAACGGCAGTGACTTATTGTTGGCACCCAACGCGAGCCACGCGCCGGACCACAACGTCACGCAAGAACGGGACGAGGCCTGGGTGGTGGGCATGGCTATCCTCATGTCCCTCATTGTCCTGGCCATCGTGTTTGGTAACGTACTGGTCATCACAGCCATTGCCAAGTTCGAGCGACTGCAGACGGTCACCAACTACTTCATCACCTCGCTGGCCTGTGCTGACCTAGTCATGGGCCTAGCGGTGGTGCCGTTTGGGGCCAGCCACATCCTCATGAAAATGTGGACTTTTGGCAACTTCTGGTGCGAGTTTTGGACTTCCATTGATGTGTTGTGCGTCACCGCCAGCATTGAGACCCTGTGCGTGATCGCAGTGGATAGATACTTCGCCATCACATCGCCTTTCAAATACCAGAGCCTACTGACCAAGAATAAGGCCCGGGTGGTCATCTTGATGGTGTGGGTTGTGTCAGGCCTTACCTCCTTCCTGCCCATCCAGATGCACTGGTACCGGGCCACCCACCAGGAAGCCATCAACTGCTATGCCAAGGAGACTTGTTGTGACTTCTTCACGAACCAAGCCTATGCCATTGCCTCCTCCATCGTGTCCTTCTACTTACCCCTGGTGGTCATGGTCTTTGTCTACTCTAGGGTCTTCCAGGTGGCCAAAAGGCAGCTCCAGAAGATTGACCGATCTGAGGGCCGATTCCACACTCAAAACCTCGGCCAGGTGGAGCAGGATGGGCGGAGCGGGCATGGACTTCGCAGGTCCTCCAAGTTCTACTTGAAAGAACACAAAGCCCTCAAGACCTTGGGTATCATCATGGGCACTTTTACCCTCTGCTGGCTGCCCTTCTTCATCGTCAACATTGTGCACGTGATTCAGGACAAGCTCATCCCTAAGGAGGTTTACATCCTCCTCAACTGGGTGGGCTACGTCAATTCTGCTTTTAATCCCCTCATCTACTGCCGGAGCCCAGATTTCAGGATTGCCTTCCAGGAGCTGCTGTGTCTGCGCAGATCTTCTTTGAAGGCTTATGGGAATGGCTGCTACAGCAACAGCAACAGCAAAACGGACTACACCGGAGAGCCGAGTGTGTGCCACCAGGGACAGGAGAAAGAAGGGGAACTTCTGTATGAGGACCCCCCAGGCACTGAAGACTTTGTGAACTGTCCAGGTACTGTGCCTAGCGATCGCATTGATTCACAAGGGAGGAACTGTAGTACAAATGACTCACTGCTCTAACGCAGTTTTTCTACTTAAGATTTTTTTTTCCCTCAACAGAACACTAGACTATTTAACTTCAGTGTAAGTAATTTAGACTAAAACTGTATAGAGAGCTGCAGAAGGAGGGTATCCTTCTGCTTTTTTTTTTATTTTTTTAAGCTGTATAAAAGAAAAACATATTTGAGTGATTATTTGTTTCTTGTGCAGTTCAGTTCCTCTTTGCTTGGAACTTTAAGTTTATGTCCGAAGGGTGTTCATCCTCAAGGACCTGGGTCTGTGTGTGTTTGATGGTTTTTCTGTATCTACCTCATTGGTCAAGTATTAGGGATAATATATTGCTGCTGGTAATTTTGTATCTGAAGGAAATTTTCTTTCCTGCACCCTGGGACTTGAGACTCCTGAGTATCTCAGACCTTTCAGCTGTGAACATGGACTCTCCCCCACCCACCCCACCTCTTTCTGCTCAAATGGAGTTGTAGGTAGGGATTCGAGGGACAGCTTCAGTTGTTTTCCTGAGCAAAGTCTAACGTTTACAGTAAATAAATTGTTTGACCATGACTTCATTGCACCTGTTTCTCCAAAACCCCTTGACTGGAGTGTCCTTGCCTCTCCCACTGGAAACCACAGGTAACTATGTGCAATAACTGCCCAGTGGAATGACACAAGAGCGGCACTCACTGATTGCTTAACCCTTTCATGATGGTATACCTGTATCTCTCCTAACACTGGTGCCCGTATCAGCCTCATCTGCTCTCAGTATAGCAGCTCATCCTACGGTTATTATTCTGTCCTGTGACCTCAGAAACACTGACTCATACAAACGGCGTTCTAGGCAGATATTTCTTCCCTCCATGTGCCCCCGCCACCCACCTTCCAGTTCTACTTGTTTAATAATTGTGTATATTGAATCTTTGCAGTCTCCTTAGTAGAACCCTTTGTGCTGCATCAGAGCTTGGCATTTTCCAGTTGAGGACAATGTTCCTGCGCAAAAGCTATTCAAACAGAGCCCTATAATTCCTAGGGAAAATCAAAGGGCACTGGTCAGAGCAAACAAAGCTGGAAAACATATACCTTATGAATACCTCATTACCTAGAAAAAAGATTTTAAACACCCCCTTCTTGACTTTTGACACTTTTCTCCCCTCCCCTTAACTCTCTGCACCTCAGTAAAAACCAGTGTTCCTCATCCTTAGCACTGTTAGCATTTCAGACCAGATAACTGCTGTAGGAGGGAGCCCCATGCATTGTCAAATGTTTAGCAGCACCTCTAGCCTCTACCCATTAGATTCCAATAGCACCCCCAAGATACGACAAGCAAAAATATCTTCAGATATTGCCAAATACCACTGAGGCATGAAATTGTCCCTCTCAGAGTGCCACTGATACACACTTTGAAGCTGTAAACAACGATTTATGTTCTATCTAATGCAAGTGGTGTATTTTGCAGAGCCTCAGAGAAGAATGTCTTACTCTACCCAGTTAGTGACAGAGCCTAGACCAGCACTCCTTCAACTCTGTCATTCTGCCTTCTAAACTCACTTTCCAGCTGCCCGGCTAGTGGCATTAAGATTTTAGGTCTGTATATGAATGGTTTAGGAGGGTTTATCAATGCAGGCAAGGCCTATGGGTCCTCACTGCCTGTTTACAAAGAGATTAGAATACTGTTAGGAGGCACAGAAGGGAAATCACAAAAGTAAACACATTTCTTTTCACAGCCCCTTTTCTATTTTTGCCTGTGTGCCTGAGCCAGAGCTTGGCCCAGGTTTCATGGCGTGGATCGTCCTCCTTGGCAACACCAGACTGGGAAGGATCAGCCCGCAGGGTTCATTGCTATTTCACTCTCTCTTGAAGCTGACTCCACTTCTGTCTTCCCCTCTATGCCAGCCAAGGTCCCCAACCAGAAAAGCACTGCCCTTGCCTGTTTCCTGTCAGCTCGGTGATGGGGCATTTGGGCGGGTACTGACCTCCCAGGAGAAGGCTAGGCCCTTGTTTTTGGAACACTGCAGAGCTAACTGCAGAGTGAATGCCATTCAGTACTTTTTCCTTCTGTTCAAGGTTTGCATACCTCCTGTCACACCCTCCTCCTCTTGCTCTGCGCCCACCCGCAGAGATGGGCTAGCTTCTTTACACCCCCTAGAGCCTCATGGGAGCTTGGATTTGAAGGGCTCATCACCTGAGGAGAATGAAGGGCCGCGAGGGCAATGACCTCCCCCAGGTAAGCAACCACGGATGCCAGTGTAGTTCTGAGCAGGGAGAGACCTGACTCCCAAGCCAAGACCTTCTGTATTCAGGGACGTCGTTGTGGTTGGATTCTGCCCTCACCCTCGATTGTGGAATCTTTTCCCTGGGGCTATAACATAGCAAATGTATTGTGGTGGATATTTTTATTTCTTTTGGGTCATTAACACAAAGTTCAGAGAATGAACAAATAATCTTCTATAGTGACAAGAGAAAGAACTGTTTGTTTTACCCAACAAGAATCCATATCCTCTGCTTTCACAGCTGAGAGACCATTTTTAACTCTTTATGACATGGGAAGAATTTCAAACCATTCTAGGTAGAAATTTCTCACAGTCTTAAATTTTTTATAAAGTAGGAAACATCATTATTTCTAAGCCCCAAAGACAATAAATATTCTTGATAAATAATGTTAATATTGTATATAAAGTCTTTTGGCTAAATGAACATCTAATATAATTTCAATTTTAAAAATCAACTATGAATATTATTTCAGATTCCTAACCAAAAAAGGGAGTTTAGCCACATTCATGCAAAATTCTGGAGTATTTTAAACACAAGAATGCTTATCAGTTTTAAGGATCTTGAAAAGCTTTCTACTTCTCGTGTGTAGCTTCATTTCCTCTGTCTCTCTGTTTTCTGACATGCTGGTTACATAAGGTTTGTGTTGGATTCACCATCGTAAAGTTTTCTTTGCCTGGACAGCGAGTTCTCAGAGTATGCCAAATGAGAACTTCATTCTGAGATGCAAGCTGACAGGTGTGAGGAGTGGCCTGCTGAGACAGTCACTGGGGGCTCTGGGAAAGGGGGTGGTTAGGCATAAGGACCCTCCTCACACAGTGCTTAGAGTATTTCTCTTGGGGAACTTACTGTTGAATAGAGCCTAGACCGGAATCAACCAGGGAGTATTTATAGAGCACTCACTGTGTGCAGCATGAGAATTGTATAGGTTTCACTCTCTGCTTTCTGGATTGTAACATTAATAATACCAAACATCCACCTATATGGAATCTAATTGCATGTTGGGGACTATGTAAGGAACCTCAGGTACTACATCAACATTATGATGTGGGTAGAATAATTGTCTTCCTCTCAGGAATGACACTAACTGTGTTCACGAAAGTTTAAGTCATTCACTTTGGGGGGTATTTATTCTATTTTTATGCTACTTATTATTTTTCCTTTTTATCAAAATAAATTTGCAATACATTAATTACATTCATCTTAGGGAACTGATACATATCCATATTGCTTCTTGCTTGGAAAGGTTAAGTAACTTTCCAAAGTCACACAGCCAGCTAGTTGCAGAGTCCACCCCTGAACCCAGGTCTGTGCAACTCCAGGGTGGGTGGAGTGAGCATTATGCAAACTAGAAAGGACTGGGAGGCCGCTGCTCATGTGTGCCAGGACAAGTGCAGAGCTGGAAATGTGATACCTTGTTGAGAGAAGAGCAAAATGGCTGTGGATTGGAGAAAGGAGGAATGCTCCCCTTCACAGCATGTGACTGCGGGACAGCAGGGACTGGGACAGGAAACCAATTGCTGAAATGCCGAATTTGCTTCTCTGAGTCTTTGCTTCATCTTTTTATTTGAGAACCAGGCCAAGTTGAAAAGGGGATATGAAAATCTACAGTGCACGCAGCAGGCTGAACAGCAGCACAGCCTTCCCTGCATCCTGGCAGACACACTCCTTCCTCGTTGTGAAGCTGGGATGGTCGTCTAAACTGAATGCTAGTTAGACCTCATGCAAAGTTGATGGGGTAGCCCTGTAGGTGTGCTGTCCACTTTAAACTGGAATTCTTGGGGCTGGGGATTTAGCTCAGCAGCAAAAGCGCCTGCCTGGCAAGCACAAGGTCGTGAGTTCAGTTCCCGGTACAAGAGAAAAAAAAAAAAAAAAACTGGAATTCTTAAGGCTGCAGCATTAATTTCCAGGCAGCAGAAAGCAAGGAGACTTAATGCACTTTGAATGGCACTTTTCATCGACAGTACAGCCCTTACTGCATTCCGCTCTGTGCCAGTTCCTACCTTGCTGACAGCAGAAATATAATTTGAAGGAGAGAATTTTTGAAATGCCTAAAGGAACAGACTTCTCAAGTACTTTCAAGAACTTGATAAAAGCTAGTGGCTTATGAATAGTAAGCCATACAACTAGGGTTTAGGTATCAATGCAACCGCCTTCCTGTCTGTCTTTCCTTCTTTCCTTCCTTCCTCCTTTCCTTCCTTCCTCCCTTCCTTCCTTCCTTCCCTCCTCCTCCACCCCCTTCCCTTCTCCTTTCCCCTTACCGCCCCCCTTTCCCCTATTTCTCTTTCTAAAATTGGGCCAGACATTTTTCCTCCATGGACCTTACTTTGCTTATCTGCAAAATAATGAGGCCAGTACAGGTCATAGCCAACCTCTGCTCAGATAAAATTTATGTGGCTGTGAATTCATAGGCTAATAAGAGATGACCATTCATATTCCTAGTTAGACTCGGTGATATTTGTCATATAAACAATGGTTGAGTATTCTGAGGATGTTCAGCCTGCAGAGAGGTGCTGTGAAGAACTCTTTAGTGCACTGTAACAGATTTCAAATATTCGAGGACCATCTAGATGGAAAGGAGATACCAGTTCCTAGTGACTACCAGAAGACAATCATAACCTTACAGGCAGGCAAATGCCAGCTCATGTGAAAAAGACTTTCCTAAGAATGAAATAGGTTATCTGATAGGATAGTAAGCGGTCTCTTTGGAAGCATCTAAGTCCCATCAGTATGAAGCACAAAGACCCTTGCGCTGAGCGGGAGACTAGATTAGGTTCCTTTCCGATCTATGATCTTGTGTCCATGAATGTAATAGGCCTGAATGTCCTTAAAAAGTACCCAGATGGTTCCCTATTCACAGCTGGCCTTCTGTCCTATTCCTCTGTATTTCAGAGGTTTTGCTGCATTCCTAAACGGGAAACCTCCCAGGGAAATCAGGATCTGAACAGTCCGTGGCCATAGGGGAACATCCAGAAATAGAGCAATAAGGTTAAACAGTTTTCCAAACTATTAGACCTTTCATCAGCAGCTCTTCCCATGCCTTTTGCAAATGACCTACTAACTCCCAAAGAGAGAATAATGAGAGCTGCAAAGTCCTCTCTGCAAAGGCTATTACGTCCCTCTCCACCCTTGGAATCATTGCACTTCCTGTGGTCTTTCCCTCGTCACCCTTGCAGCGCGGGAAGGAAGGGAGGCAGGTCCTCGGCTAGGGTGAACCACTTCAAAGTCCTTTGGCCTAAAAACCTGGAGGCCCAGGGCCGATGGTAGCCAGCTGCTAAAAGCACGTGGAGGAAGCCTCT